GTTGAGCCAGACATATAAAGTGAACCCACCTGAATGCATTACATCTTAGTTAACCCCGTTGAGTCTATAAACCTATTTCTTCGGCAACCACAATGTGAACCTTAACCACTTGCTTGAATAGCCTGCTGTTTGAACCAATTTTCCTCCCTCTCACTAAGCACTAGATTGGTATTGAGATTATGTAAAAACAAAAGTGTGGGGTGGTGGTTTGGTTTTTGAAGTGGAACCATGGAAATAGAGAAAATGTGCAGAATTTGAAGCGTAAAAAGAAAAGCACCACGAAAAAAAGTTCATATATTTTGTAGTGATTAATAAGTGGTAGCTTGTACAAATTGCACCTAATGTATGAGGATGTTTAAATAAATGTAGTGGAGTGTTGGCTTATAAAATGATGATTTTTAAGTTCAACGTAATTGTATTAAAAGTGCTTAGGGAGGTTAGTCACTATATCTAAATGTATCTTACCCGTCCCTTAGCCTACATTACAACCAAATAAAGTCCTATTGATCTTAGACTGAGTGGGGCTCGATTAGTCGAGTACTACACTAGGGGCAAGCTTATGGTGCATCTTTGTGACATGCGAATGTTCTTTTTGGAGAGTGAGTGAATTCTGTCTATTTGAGTTCCTAATTGTTATCACTATCATTATATATATGGAACTACTCTCTTGTGTGATGTGAGGGCATGTGATTCACAAAGGAAAGGTGCATCTTGACTATTGTGTAGAGTGGTTTGAGTAAGTGCAAATGTTACAGGGTACGAAAAACTTGATTCTTGAGGTAAAAGCTGCTCACTACTAGGTGTAACTCTTGTGAAATGTTCATGGCGTGAGTCGTTGAGGGAAAAGCATAGGGAATGAATTTTTATGGAGTGTGGTGAATTGCTCGAGGACTAGCAATAATTTAAGTGTGGGGTGTGAGATAATAGGCTATATAGTTGTTATTTACACCATAATTGCCCATGCTTTGTTGTTATTTTATAATGTAAGTTGCCAATAAAATGCTTTAATTAATGCTATTTGGTTTCGCAGGGAATATAAGATGTAAGGAAGCAACATGAAGTGTTTAGAGGCAATAACGTGAAGAAAAACACCCACTCAAGAAATACCCAAACACAAAAGAGCAAAAAGAGAAGGAACGCGGAGATAAAAAGGCCCAAAATACTCACCGCGGTTGCCACCGCGGTCCACGCCGGGGTTGGAGTCAGTGTTCTCCACGGTCAGCGCCGCGGACGACGCCGCGGCCGCGACGGCATGTTCACAGTCCAGAAATTTAAGGGGCCAAAGTGTCAATTCGGGAAAGCTTTTGTAAAACCCTTATAAGATGTAGGAAACTCGCCCAAGAAAAAGGGGGGCTTATTTTGGAGATTACTTTTGCAAGAAGAACAAGTGTGAGAGATCACCCAAAACATCATAGTTCTTATTCTCTTCTATTTTTCTTGCAATTTTCCATTATGAATATTTTCGTAGTTTATTCTTACGTTGTCATGAGTAGTTAAATACTTTAATCTAAGGTTTTGGTGAAACCCGTTGGGGATGACTTGGTTGTGATAGTAATATAGTTTGAATTGGTTGTTAATCTCTATTTGTTCATCTACGTTTTAATTGTGGTTAGTTGAAAGGGGCCTCAATTATCCGTTCCTATTTATTATGTATCTTCTTGAGAGAGAGTGCATATTTAGGTAGTTGCTTGAATAACATCACTCCCGGAGTATAGACGAGAGTCATAACCGAGGGTTTAGAGGTTGGATTAGAGATAACGATACCTCGGGTGCAATCTAAAAGAACGGTAATGTGAATCTAGCTAGCGTAGCTTGAGAGAGTGCGTCTAGTAAATTATCATAATTGCTTGAGAGAGATTTATGATAACTGGAGAGTTCTTGATTGATAGAGACAACTAAGGCATTGCTATAAGAAACATACAACCAAGGAAATCACCAATGGGGGAAACCATTGCCTTAGACCTTATTCCAACTGTTTACACATCAAGCATAGTTAATTTTCAGCTGTTAATTATTTTTAGTTTTTTAGTTGTTAGAAATATCACCAATTGTGAATTACAAAGTTTGGGGAAATTGATTCTGTGAATTTAGTAAATCCGACAAAAGTAATTGATAGGTTAATTCCTGTGGTTCGAATCTGGGCAGAATTACTCAGATTATATTTACTACGTCCGTGTGTGTCCTTGTATAAGGCATAATTTGGCGTTATCAGATAGGTTTTCAATAATAAATGAATTAAGATAATACATAACAATAGAATAAAAGATGAGCACAAATACTCAGGGGCATATCTATGTATTAAAGCATGGGGCACGTGAACTCAAGCTCAAAGTGTTCTACACTGATTATTATCTTGCTGTTATTTTTTTTGTGGCTTCTATACTATTGTTTTTCTTTTTCAGCATAAGTGTGATAACCTTTTTATTTTTATAAGGTAACGGTAAGGTCTGTATATACATTACCTTGCGGATCTCACTTGTGAAATTAGACCGAGTTTGTAGTTGTTGATGAACCCATTATTAGATCAAAATAAATGATATTGTGATAGGTGAAAGAGGTCCTCAAAATGCTTCCGAGGTTTGTTGTTCCTTGTCACATTCTTTTCACTTATAAAGTACAAGTTGATATTATTTCCGTCAATATCACTCCATTCCCAGCAAATTCCCATCACACACAGCTTACAGCTAATTCATATGCATATTGTCAGTTGACAGCCCACCAAAAACTGTAAAAATTTCCATCTCATCTCTCTAACACAGAACTACTTCTCCCGACAGTGTCTTAACTTTTATGCAGCAGAGTGCTGACACTGACAACAAACACCCACTTCTTTATTACTCTCTTCAATTTGCCTCGTACTTCCCCCCTTCACTTACTCTCAAGATTCTTTCTTCTTCTTTCCTTTTGCTTCTCTACCAATGTTACAGAAAGAGACAAATATAGTCTTTTCTTAACTTGAATTTACTCTCACTATAAACCACCTACTCTATATCTTGAATCCTTCTTTTGTTGTTGTAGAGCCTCCAAGAATTGATACAAAACACACCCTTTACATTTTTTTTTGCTTTCTTTCTAATATTTTCTTTCAATTTGAGATCTGGGAACTTTATTTTGGATCAATGGAGGGTGCTGACAAGAATAAGCCTGATCAGGTGTTCAATTCTTTGGAGCCAGAATTCTCTGTTTCATCACCAGTGACTCGTCAAAAATCAGCTGCTGCTAAACAGATCATTGAGAATCATTACAAGAACTATCTTCAAGGCTTACAAGATCGCTTAGAAAGGTTCTTGTTTTTTTCTTTACTTACCTGCATTTACACAATATTGTAGTGTAGTGTATTTGTGTTGACATGGGGTTTGTTGTGTTTTTTTTTTCAGGCGAAGAACGTTGCAGAGGAAGGCGCAAGAAGCACAGATACCGGATGATGAGCAAGAGAAGATGCTGAGGAATTTGGAGAGGAGGGAAACTGAGTACATGAGATTGCAGAGGCATAAAGTTGGTATTGATGACTTTGAACTGTTGACTGTCATTGGTAAAGGCGCATTTGGTGAGGTACATTGTCTTTCTTACAACTCTATTTCACAAAATTATTTTCTTATAATTCATGTTTTCATGATGTAAATTTACTTAAAAAGATGGCTGGATGGTAATTGTAGTAGATGCATAATAGAGCAGAATAGATATAGAGGATTCATACAGCCACCCTGGAAATTGGGGCGTATACAGCCGACCTTAATTAGTTGGAAATTGGGGCATAGCTCATTGGTTCATTGATTTAGTAATTTACTGCTGATTAGATGCATGGATCAAAAAATCAAATGAACCTGTTCGATCGGAGTAACTTAAAGTATGTCTTTGTTTTTCCTATTAAGTGATTATTCAGGCTAAAGTTTGTGCTGTTGCAAGTAATTAAACATCAAAAACAAAAATCATCTAGGCTGAGCAACTTATGATAGCCGAAACATGTTACTTTGCCGTAGTCGCGAGCAAAGAGGTGCATAAATTAGTCATATAGACAAATATAGAAGATCTTAATTTGCATATCGTCCCAAGCTTATCATCTCTACTAAGAAAGTTTAATTGATTAAACAAGATGAAAGATTAAGAAAGATCAGTTTACTGGTAAGCTGAGCATCTCTGGAGAAATATCTGCATATCATATTTCTCGTTATGTTATTTTAAGACTTTTGCTGATTCGCTCTGACATGGCAGTGGAGAAGCACACACGCATCTCCTGCTCGTACTGGTTGTTTCCACTGTTGCGGAAGTCAAATGTATATAGTGTGAATGAGTCACAACTACTATACCAAAAATTATGACAGCCACCAAATAATAAATAAGACAATAAAGCAACAATAAAAGGAACACCAGAATTTACGAGGTTCGGCCAATTTAGCCTACTTCCTCGGACACAACCAATATTTTATTCCACTCCAAAATACAAGTGAAATAATACTAAAGAGAGAAAATACAAATGCCTTAAGAAGATAAGAAGGCAAATGAGATGTGTATTTAAATCCTAAACATTAGGTCTTCTTTTATGGGGAAAATAATCCATTCAAAATTGTCACCCAACAATGTGGGACTTTTGACAATTTCAACAAATCTCCACCTTTGGCAAAATTCCACATCTTCAATTTTCTCTCAATAACAAATTTTGATTGTGTCTCCATCTTCAATCTTTAGTGTTCAACAATGTTGATCAAATCCAAACAATGTTGAAACTTGATCGCAGTCACCACTTTTGTCAGCATATCAGCAGGATTCTCCGTAGTATGAATTTTCTTCACCGTGACTCCACCTTCTTCTATGATTTCTCGTACGAAATGATACCGAACATCAATGTGCTTCGTCCTTGCATGATAAACTTGGTTCTTCGCTAATTGAATAGCACTTTGACTATCACAAAAAATTGTGATACTTTTTTGTCCAATACCAAGCTCTTTTAGCAATCCCTGAAGCCAAATTGCCTCCTTCACAACCTGTGTAATAGCCATGTACTCTGCCTCTGTTGTAGACAAAGCAACTGTTGACTGCAAAGTAGACTTCCAACTAACTGGTGCCTTTGCAAAAGTAAACACATAACCAGTAGTTGATCTTCGTTTGTCCAGATCACCCGCAAAATCTGAGTCACAATATCCAACTACAGATTGATTGCCTTCCTGCTCAAAAACTAACCCAACATCTACAATATTATGAATATACCGTAAAATCCACTTCACAGCATGCCAATGCTCCTTTCCTGGATTATGCATATATCTGCTAATAACTCCAACAACTTGTGAAATGTCAGGTCTCTTACAGACCATTGCATACATCAAGCTACCAACAACATTTGCGTATGGTACCTTTGACATACACTCTCGTTCAACTTCATCTTTTGGCGACATAGTAGTACTTAGCTTAAAATGGGGAGCAAGTG